CAGCATTTTCATACATTTCATTTATTTTGCTCAAATTGCTGCTTTCAATTTCATCCAAAGGCAGATGTTTTATTTTTATATTTTAATTTTTCTGAAAAAATGACATATTTTCTTTGCTTCAGAAATTCCTTAAGAATTAAGGTTAAAAAAAAGTCAGGGAAAAAAAGAGAAATCTGGTCTGGTATTATATATTTGTTTTTTTAATTGGAATTCCTGGTAATTTGCTATCTTTTAACAAAGGTATACCTATGTCCTGCTGTAAAGTTAGAGAATAAATTTACTGGGCATTAATACAATTTGAGATTTGGTGTCTTAAAGATCCCCATAATCTATGGGAGGTCACATAATATCCTAAGTCATAATATGGTTTCTTGGTTTGCAGCTTCACATGTAATATGTGAAGCCAAATATTGTTGGGTTTCACATGTGTTGTAGCTTATCTTATGTGAGTTCTGATCTCTTTTGTTGGATTCCTTCCAAGCACCAGCATTTTCACAAAAAAGCAGTGCCTTCATGTTTCAGCTCATTTTCCTTCTTGGAAAATTCAGAAGCTCCAGGAACTTCACATTGAATAAGTAAGGTGTAATTGAAATAATAAGTAAGGCCAATATAAGTAGTTATGCAAACACTCAGGTGCCAAGCTATAAAGAATTTGATAGATAAAAATCAGCAGTTGTGTGAGTGCATTCTGGACTAGTTGTAGTTTCTTAGTACAAGTAATTCCTTAACTTTTGATTGTAATGGAGTTTGCCTGTTACAGTTGTAAGTCGTGATAGTCGTAAAGTGGGTCACTCATGTAACTGACCCAATTTTACATTCTTTTTTTGTGGCGGTTGTTAAGGGAATCTGTGGTTAACCCATTGCTTGCTATGATGTGTTTTGCCAAAAACTGGAAATAAACATCAGTTTTCAGTAGAAACATTGTAAATTTCAGTGACATGACTGTGGTTTGCTATAAACAGCCATAAATTGGGCCATAAATTGAGTGCCCAAAATACTGTCATACGATAGCAAGGGAGGGTCGCCATTGGAACTTTGGAACAGGGTCGTATGTATCTTTGGGAGGGGGTCTGTCATAAGTTTGACCAGTTATAAATTGGGGACTACCTGTAGTCTTTAAAGGCAATCCCATATTAAGTACGTTGCAATAGTATGAGAAGTAATTATGTGAGTTATTATAGCCAAATCTTCCAGAAGTAGATAAGGCTGCAATTACCTTGACAAAGACTGTTCTATCAATGGCTTCCAGAAGTACATCCAAATCATGAACCTGCTGCTTCACAGGAAATGCAGGCCTTTCCAAGATAACAATGGTGTTCATAGAGAACTGCAATGAACAAACAGCAATCCCATCTTGCTTGGGTTTAATGTTATTCTCATTCAGATCCTTACAACCTCCAAGCACTGGAATAAGATTGACATTCCTTCAGCCTGGGGTAATGATGTAAAAGCTGCATATCACTAGTGTATTGATGATATCATACCCCAAATTATTGGATTACCTCTTTCAATGGTTCATATAAATCTCAAAAAGCAGCAGAGAGAGGATTAAGCCTGGCCATTGTGTAAAGCAGGAACTACTGGGCTGACTTCTCATCCCTACTACTATAGATTGAACTCATACTGAGGAAAGAATGGAACTATTGCAAAACAATGTCATTAATCTTCTGCAGGTGGTTTAGTATGATTCCATGATAAAAGATACTGAAAGCTACAGTCCAAAAGAACCAAGAGAAATGACTACCTACATCCAGATCTTGGTATAGGTCATCTAAGAGAATAACCATATCAACCTTACTAGGTAGACCAGACAGGAAACACAACCAGATAAATTAATTCTAGTTCATTGTAAAGCTATATTAATAGATTCTTGCAAGTCTGAAAATACCATTTTCCTGCTATTACATTTACAATTTAGGAAGGATCTATTCTGAACCTCTTGTTCTGCCCACGGTGAACTGTAGGCAATGCTGCCTCTTATCAGATTGTTCCCTAATTAATCTCTTTGCCACATCTCCAGGGCCTTTTCTACATACCAATATATACCAGTTCCATCTTAGTCCCATATCTGGGTCTGGGAGAGGATCCAAATTTCTATGGGCACTATATAATTGATTCTTTACCATTATCTCAATAACATTTCTCCAAAAGGGAAGGTTGGAGACCAGCCAATAGTTATCTAAGACCACTGGATATAATCTGTTCGAAGGGAGTGGTCATCTCCTCCAAGATTGAAGGCAGTTCCCTTACTGTAGAGAAACATTGACAATATCTTGCCTCCAGATCTGCATCTACATCTCTGCTTTTTCCTCTCAAAACCTAAGTTACTGGGAGATAATCTAGACAAGTGATGGCGAACCTTTTAGAGACCGAGTGCCCAAACTGCAACCCAAAACTCACTTATAGATCATTGGGTGCCGGGTGGGTGTGGCCCATTGGATGGGCGTGGTCCATTGGGTTGACATGGCTGCGGTAATAGCAGACTGGGTGGGACTAAAAAGTTCAATCAATCAATTCCAACTTTGTGAGATCTTTTTTTTCCCAGCGAGAAGTTGAAATTGATTGAACCTTTTTTTTTTTTTTTTGCACATGGCGGCAGAGGCCTAAAGTGAAAAGGTTTTATAAAACCCAGCTGAAGGCCTAGGACTGGGACGATGGTGCGCGTGCCCACAGAGAGGGTTCTGCATGCCACCTGTGGCACACGTGCCATAGGTTCGCCACCACGGATCTAGACAATTCTGTTTGGAACCCAATGACTTATTTTAATTTTGGTTCATGCAGAAAAAAGTCATGAGCCAGTTATGAAGAGTTCCTTACATCATTGACTTTCAAAAGTTTATTTGTGGTTTATTGATCATATTTTAACAGTATATCTATTGTCATATGATATGTAGCCTTTAATTATCTTCTGCTATATTAAAATTAGTTTTCTGTGAGGGCTACTGCAAGCACTGTACTAAAATAAAAAGCATAGTTTACCTAAGTATAATAAAACAGATGCAGAATAGGATATTTCAGCCATAGCTGAAGATCTTGTATTTTCACTTAGCATTCCTTTGATCAAATGATTAGGGTGGATGATTAAAGGAACATGCCCAAATAAAAGCATTAGCAGTTTGTAGTTATAGAATTCCTTTCTCCATTAATCTTTGTGCAAACTTTGGGATTTAATTTTATCATGGATCAATTGATTTGAAGAAAAACACCTTTTAATTTTTTTCAGATTACTCCATTAAAATAAAGGATTCACGATATTTAATCAGCTAATTCCTGAACACATTCCTAAGTACTAATTAACTACATAGGAATTTGTCAGGCACTTGTTAGTTCTTTATGTAGCTGTGTAAATGGCTGTAGGTATTTAATCTAAGATGATACACGTTTATGTCTGTTGTATTGTCAACTTGGAAAAGCCCAGAAAAAAATTGGAAAGGGGACTGGTTTATCACTTTTTCTCTAAATATTTTTTCAGTCTTTTCCCCCCAATGAAATATACTGGAATAGAAACCTGAATTTTTCCTCTCATAAAATAATTAAATTGCTTTTGAGATAAATAAGTATTTCACATAATACTTGCAAGTGATTGGTATTTAAATAAAAATATTTCTATTGTTAGATAATTGTAGTTCTTATATATTGTAAACTTATACGATTTAGTTCTGAATCTTAAATTTGAAATTTAGTCCTTTATCAGATTGTGCCACACTATAGTATGAGCAGACATTCTTAATATATGGGCAACTTTCCTATATCTGTACGAAATTATCAATCTTGCCAGTCACCAAAAATAATATGAGTATTTTCTGGTATAAAGTCCTGCTGGGTTGTGAAGGAGGAGAGAGGAAGAATGGCAAATAAAAAAGGACTGGTTGCTTTAATTCCTGACTGTTTTCCTCCTAACCCAAATTCAGCCTTCAACAGATTATTTTGGGAATGTGCTCGTGATCAGAAAAAGTTGTCAATTCTTGTATAAGAGAATGTGACAGAAATTAATTCATTTATAAATGCATATAGTAGATCCATTTCAAGAATATGCCAGCTTATGAAGCTGAATATGGAAGTTTGAATCTGTGGAAGCATTCAGTTATTTGATAAGTTGAAACACTGAAAATGCAGAATGTAAATATTTCAGAAGCTTATTCTACTTGAGAAGACTAATAAAGCAAATTAAATATTCACTGGTAGTGTTTTTTGTAGTAAATTACATGGACAGATGTTATATATTTACTAATCCTTTGATAATTAAGTATTGCATATTTTTGCCGTTTTTAGCTAATTCTAAATATATAAAGAAGACTGAAATCATACAAAATATCTTTTTTTTAAAAGCATGCTTTATTTTGGGACTTTATCTTTACCTGATTTTCCATCTGACACACTTAGGGTATGATTAAGATTAGATGATTATGATTAGGATAGCCTTCCTTTATGTTCAGTGTAGAAATGTATTACAGCAGTATAACACCATTGTAATTTTGAGCAGTTGCTGAACAAATGATCCTTAAGCAAGGATTATTTGTAAATGTAAACATTCATTTAAATTTCTAATTCAGCATTTTTCAACTTTAGCAATTTTTAGGATATGTGATCTTCAACTCCCATACATTTTTAAGTTTTTAAGATTGGGGAAAAGTGTTTAAAGGCCTATCATTCATATCTCTTTGTACAAATAGAGATAACTGTGATCACTGAGAGAATACTCAGAGAAATTGTTTTGAGTTGTGAATCATTTCTTAATCTTTTTTAAAATTTAAAAATTGGTCACAAGCTCTATTTTTAGATGTTAAATCTTAAATATTTGAATAAAACTCCCCCGTGCAAGAAAATCATATTAAGAATTGTATGCATATTGTTTTTTATTTTAAACCTGCAAAAAAAAGATAGTTATGAACACTGCAAAATAACATGAATTATGCATTAAAATAAAATGATTTTGAAACATATCCTAATGAGTAGTGTCATGTGATAATTCTAATTGTATTTTTGTTTTTTTTTAATAGGTGAATCTGGATTGGGAAAATCAACATTAATCAACTCATTATTCCTGACAGACCTGTATTCTCCAGAATACCCAGGACCTTCACATAGGATTAAAAAGACTGTACAGGTTTGCATGAAAAAGTATACCTTCTATTACATTTTTATATGCTTGATTGAAATAGAAATACTTTAATTTTATTTATTTGTTCAATTATTTTTTTTAAAATGTTCATTAACCAAAATTCTCTGAGCAGTTGTCAATAAAACAGACTAAAACATACAGTCTGAGAATATGCTAAAATCAAACCAAATAAAAATATATAAATCAAGCTGCAGTCTAATATTCAAAAACTAAGAATTAAAATACAGTTAAAAGTCAATTAAAAAGCTTGGAAAAATAGAAAGATGCTAAAATGATGCTAATGTGAGTATCAGTTAAGTTTTTCTGGTGAGGGAATTCCATGAATTCCAATCTAATACATTTTTCAGCACTGATTCAACACATTGACCACCTCATCAATGTAAAGCTGGAAGTCATCTTGAAGGCATGTCAATCCAAATTTCTGACTGACCTGTCCTAGCAGTTTTATGTAGGAATTAAAAAGCATGGAAGATAAAATGGCCTGAGGAACACCATAAACCAACCTGTCCCTAATTCTTTTTGCCAGTCAGTGAGGCCAGGCCAAGTTAGTACACTTCAGGTTGATCAGGCTGTGTGATGTGTAGAACTCAGAATACATGCCTTGTCTCTTGCTGTGCTTGCCTCCTGGATATTCCCCAACTTAAAAATGCAGATAACTCTCACATTGATGACTTTGAGGAAGTTATTACTAGTAGACCTAGACTTATGGCCATTCATTTAGTGACCATTTGAAGTTACCATAGCATTGAAAATAATGACTTAAAACCGGTCTTCGCACTTGCTACTGTTGCAGCGTCCATAGAGCACATGATGAAAGGTCAGATGTTTTGGCAACTGGCATGTATTTGTGATGATTGCAGTGTCCTTGGGTCCATATGATCACCATTTGCTACTTTCAATAGGGAAGCCAGATTCTCTTAACAGCCATGTGATCATTTAGTGATCACAGTGATTCGCTTAATGGCTGCAGCAAAAAATGTAAAAAATAAAATTGGTTGCTATTCACTTAACTGCCTTGCTTAGCGACATAGGTTCCAGTCCCAATTGTCATAAGTCAAGGACTACTTGTAAAAACTTGACTATTGAACCTGACTGGAGAAGTAGTGGTGTTTGTTACATGAATGTCTGGAGAAGTTGTTGTTTCCCAGTGAGGGAGAGAGAAGAAAAGTCTGTAGTGGCTTCCCTTTTTATAAAATCCAAGATGGGAAGAAGGGAGATTGCTGTCATTGGTGGAACTCTGGTCTCTGGGCAAGGACTGGGCAGAAGATCCTTTCTTCCCTCAATAAAGGAGATCTGCTGACCAGATCCAGGAGGAGTTAAGTCATACTAAGCATACACTAAGCAGTAAATCCAGTATATTCTTTTCTATTCATTCTCTCTTGAGAAGCCTAAAAACCCAGAAAAAGAGACAGAATGAAGAGGAGCTGAAGCAGGAGAGGAAGAGAAACATAAGACTAAGCCTGGCACCAGAGTCTTGCTGTATAAATAGGCATTTAGAACATGCCTATTGTAAATAACTTCATAGTATATTACAAAAACGCATAAAAGCCTCCACCCTCTTGTTTTTCTGTCAGTTGTCATCCTTGCAAACAAAAAGCAATTCTAAAAGAGCTCAATCACACTGTGATAAAGTCCTAAAGAATGCTGAAACAGATGCATCTCCAAGGTTACTGTTATAGTGATCACAAAGTTGCAGTCTGAATTTCAACGATACATGGTATGAGAATCTCGAGATGTACTAGCTAAATTCAAAAAAGGAGTGGCACTTGTTGTTAACATGCTTCAAAGGATATCTATTTTGTTCTTTAATTATTTAATTATATAGACCAATAGATGATGGGTAGTCCTAAAAAACATGGACATTCAAGACTACTTCACATGCTGTTGAGAAATTTTTTGTTGACTGGAAAGCAATAGTTAGAATGGGATGTAGAATAATAAATTGTTACTTCATTTAACATATGTGGGATAATAAACACTGGATGAGAAAATAAATCGGAATTGTATCTCGGATATGCTAATACTATCACTTACATGGCTAGAAGTGAGGAAGGCTTGTCTTGTTGAAGATAAAAAAAGAGTGTGCCATAAGATTATGTCAGCAGGCAGAGATATCCCGATGCTCAAACATTCATAAGGAGGACAACTGAAAACTATGAAATAGGACAGTGGTGGCGAACCTATGGCAAGGGTGCCAGAGGCAGCACTCGGAGCCCTCTGTGGGCACACGTGCTGTTGCCCCAGCCTCACTTCCCCTGTGACCCCCTGTCCAGCAGCCCCCCTGAAGGAGAGTCGCCCCTGAGCATGGGTGTGGGCAGAAGGCGTAACCGCCATAGCGCTGCTGGGCTGCCTGGGCGATCGGCGGGCCCTGGCGGCAGTGAGTGACCCTGCGGGAAGGCGGGGCAGGGGATGGGAGGAGCAGGGGTGGGGCCAGTTTTTGGGCACTCGGTCTCTAAAAGGTTCGCCATCACTGAAATAGGAGATATCAGTGCTTGAAAGAAAGAGTACAATATAGGTAGTTATACTATATACACTGCAGAAATATCACACTTAACATGATAATTTAAGGCCATAATGTTTCCATCTATAAAGTATGCTTCTGAAAGCTGGATCATCAGAAAGATTAATTGAATAAATGTTGTTATCACAACATAAGCATGAATTTAAAAGAATTTAAATTACTGACAGACAATCCTAATAAATGTTGTCTGTCAAGATTACAAAGACTTAGAAATGACTGAGCAAAAATTGCTATTGCATTTAGTCTACTAATCTTATTATAACTTATTTGACTAGAATAATATTACTGTTTTCAGTTTCTTTATAGCTAGCTCGAAATAACATTTTATCACTTTTCTATGATAATATGTAACTTTTATTTATTGATATTAATACATTACCATGTTTAATGTTAATAATTTGTAATTATGTAAATTTTAGCTTTAAGAATTTTTGAATTCCATGTTAGAAATTTAATGTTTAAGTATCTTGCTAATAGTTGAAATACTTAGACTATTTTAGATTATCTTAGGTTGTGCATGGAATAATTCACATTTTTATACTTTAAATGTGTTTTGGGTTAAAATTAAATCACTTTAAATATCTCTGCTTCCCGTGAAATAGAAATAACAGAAAGCTGTTCATAAAATACATCAAATAGACATCTTCTAAAGGATAAGATAACTTTAATTTTACAAATCTGGTGTGGTCTGTGAATCTGATCCATGTGATCTATTTAAATAGAGTGCATGGGAAAATAACCTTTTGGAAAATAATCTTACTGTGAAAAATTTTGCATTCCAAGATTGGAGCTAATTTATTTTTCCTAAATCCCCATGGATAGTTCTAAAACTAAATAGAATTCATTTGAACTTGCAATGGGGATTGATGCTATTTACAATAGTTTTCTGGCTGTCTTCCAGAAAGTAGTACATTATGAGAATTTGACCATGTAAGGTTATAGAATTTTTTTTTAAGAAAAGACAAAATTGACCAGACAGAATGAATTCAGCTTGAACATTTACTGTATATTATATTCAGAGCATATATTCTTGAAGCTAAGTCTTAGAGGTTATAAATTAAAAATGCTAATTGTAGAGGAAATACAACCATCATCAACAACAATATATTTATTAAAGCCAAAGCCAGCAGCTTAAAATAAAATATAATGTATCTAAGTAATGATGTAGTACAAAATAAAAACACTCACTAATGTAAATTGAGGTGTTTTGGTCTTTCTGTTTCCTTTTTGACTTTTTGATCATCTATGGAATGCTATGCAGATGTTGGTTATTTCTATGTGTCTGTTGATGGCTGATTTGTCCGAATGTCATCTCAGAAAGCATCAACAGTCTATTACAACTACATGACCTAATCGTAGCACATGAACCAACTAAAGCTCTCCAAAACATCCTAAGTAAATAAAAAAAAAACCACCAGCCCCAGAGGAAAAAATAACAGCACATCTGTGAACATCAGCTAGGAGTCAGAATACATGATGAAAAGTCCTTAATTTCACAACACATGGACAGACCTTGCCATAGTTTCAACTGGGAAACCGTGAGCATCCTTGACCAAGCCAAGTCTAAAAATACTAGAGAATTACTTCCTCAGAAAATCAGCTACCAATAAGCATATAGAGATAAACAAAATCTATATATCATTCAAAGGGGACAATCAAAAGCAAAAAGGATACAGAAAGACTGAAACATCTGCACATCAGCAATCAATACCCAGATAACAGAAATTAACACTAAGATTAATATCAGACAATCAAGTAAACAATAGCCCTATCAAGGAGCTATCAACTCAGACAAACAAGCTAATAGTACACAATAACCTATTCAAGAAACCATTAAGAACACTCACATCAACAGTGACAGGGCAAGCCACTAGTATATCAAAAATAGAACAAACCTGATTCCCTTCTAGCACTGATGATATTCTCTAGTTGGATAATGAAATGTCTGCAAGAAGACCATTAAGCTCAAAGCACCAAGGACTCCATAATTCAACTCTCAGTTACAAATATTCTCTTGTATCAGCACCACAGATGCGTAACTTGAAAATTTCCCAGACAACTTCTATTTGTCCTGCAGGAATTAAGGAAAAACATTTTTAATGTGTAAATGAAGGTGAAAAACAAAAAGATTATAGGTTAAAAGCCAAAGTGTTAAGCAAAGGCATTGAAAACCTATCTCAGTTTTGGTTTGTGCTGTTAAACCATGTATTTTTTTATATCATAAAACATTTTTTCTAGAGTTCGAAAAACAAATTGAGCAAAGAAATATGAACAGAGAAAGATACATGACTTAGATTCTCAACTGATAGGACCAGAAATCTACACGTAGGATACTTTTTCAAGAAGAAAATAAAAAGCATTTTTGTTCTGTTTTTTCTTGCGTATTCATTCAGCCTCTCTTGAAGAGTTGGGAGGATGCTTTTCATCAGTGCTTCACCCTCTCCTGCCAGTAAAAGGATTCTGCACTGAATCAAAGTTTTTCCCCTGAATCAAAAGAATTACTCCATTTATAGAAGAGCAGCTTGGCATACATAATAATAAAACTCATTTATGGTCATATTTTAAGCAACATTTTTAGGAGCAGTTGTAGTACCGTAATATTTTTCTTTAAAAAAATCTAAAATTATTATATTCAAAGTTTTTATTAACAAAGAATCAATTTAATATTTAACATACATACATTATCTTCTTTTTAAAATTTTCAGGTTGAACAGTCTAAGGTTCTAGTTAAAGAAGGCGGTGTACAGTTGCTACTAACAATAGTTGATACGCCAGGATTTGGTGATGCAGTGGATAATAGCAATTGGTAAGTTCATTCTAATATTAGTAATGGCTATTATCTTGCAAAACTTGCATATATTTAAAGTAGAATAATTTTTTTCTTTGTATAGCACTTTTTTTTTTTTGCTGTTCTGTTGGCCAGAAATGATAGAAAACATAATTTTCCAGATGTAATTGGCCAATTCTCTTGTTTCTCTATGATTAGCTCAGAGATATTGTTTGGTTATTTATTTATTAAATTTATATACCGCCCTATCTCCCTTACGGGACTCAGGGCGGTGAACAGGCGATACTAAAAACCACAATAATAAATAAATAGTTTCTGTTCTAAAATCAAATTAAATAACAGGCCTGTTCTAAAAACACCCCATACAAAACCCCCACTAAAACATAATCAAACTACGCCAGGCTGGCCGCACGGAATAGATGGGCCTTCAGGGCTCGGCGAAAAAGGCGCAGGTCCGCAACTGTACGTAGGTCGGGGGGTAGGTCATTCCAGAGGGCAGGAGCTGCCACAGAGAAGGCTCTCCCCCTGGGGGTCGCCCGCCAGCATTGTCTGGCCGACGGCACTCTAAGGAGGCCCTCTCTGTGGGAGCGGACTGGTCGAAGGGAGGTGTTTGGTAGGAGGTGGTCTTGCAAATACCTAGGTCCATTGCCATGGAGCGCTTTAAAAGTTGTTACTAACACCTTGAAGCGCACCCGGAAGGCCACCGGCAGCCAGTGCAGCTCACGCAGGAGAGGTGTTACATGGGAGCATCTAGAGGCCCCCAAAATCCCCCGCGCAGCCGCATTCTGAACTAGCTGGAGCCTCCGGGTGCACCTCAAGGGGAGCCCCATGTAGAGAGCATTGCAATAGTCCAGGCGGGAAACAACGAGGGCTTGAGTGACTGTGCGTAGGGCATCCCGATCCAGAAAGGGGCGCAACTGGCGTATCAGGCGAGCCTGATGAAAAGCCCCCCTGACCACGGCCGTCACATGATCGTCTAAAGACAGCCGAGAAAGGTTGTACCAAGAAAGGTCAAAAAACTAAGTACCATTAATACTATGAAATAAATTTTCTGATGTCAAGAATATGACTTTGGCTATTATATAAAAATATTTTAATATTAATGTGGCAAATAAATATTTCATAAATTTTTGTAGATAATTAACAATAAATGAACTTTGATAAAGACTATTTACCAAATAGCTTTGGGAAGTATGTTTTGTGTTCCTTCATACCATTTCTATGACCCTTCCTTTTACTACTAAATCTTCTGCTTTTGTTGCTCTTGTTTCATCTATAAGAATGGGCATTGTTTTTCTCGTATAGCAACCTAACTAAATTTCTTTAGGAAAATTATATTTGTAATGTCATTTTTAATATCATGAAATACAACTTGTACTAATATAGCAAATGTTCCAAGTTAATTTGCTTTTTTTAAAATGTCTTTGCACATTGTAGCTGGCAGCCCGTTATTGATTACATTGACAGTAAATTTGAAGACTATCTTAATGCAGAATCACGTGTGAACAGACGACAGATGCCAGATAACAGGGTCCAGTGTTGCTTGTATTTCATTGCTCCTTCAGGACATGGGTCAGTATTAAAGATGAATGTTTTTGCTTCTGCATTGCGATTTCCCCACTCAGAAACAATTAAACTACATTGTTAGATATGTCATATCAGAGAAATTATAAGGAATTGAATTCTAATGTAAATAAATTTCCTTCTCTAATATTAGCAAAAGTGGTTTTTACAGAATCCAGAAGAGTAAGAGTTGGGATTATATGTTATTATTAGTTTGTACTTTGGATTTTTCTAATTGATTGAATTGAAAGTAGTTATGCATGCTTTGTTTATTGTGTGACAATAAAGGATGATTAGTTACAAGATATGGTGACATTTTTTAGATTTAATAGACTCAAATTGTGCCAATGCTTTGAAATGCTTTTTATCAGATATTTATAAATTATAATTTGTGGTACTAGTAATTTCTTATATAGCACATTGTTTTTGAAATCAGTGGTTAATACTGCCCTAACTCTCGGAGGATAATAGATATAATGTTTAAAAAGTTCATATGATTTCCTCTTCTTGAACAACGGTAACTTAAATAGAGCTGCAAGCTTAAAAAAGATACATTACTTAGTAAAAAGGAATTTTGCTTGTACGAGTTTTGAAATTCTGAACCATTTTCAGAAGCAGAGGTTTTATTATATACATATTTGCAATGCAGACACGATTATAGGTAGTCCTCCAGATATGACAATTAATGTTCAATTAATGAACATTCAGAGTTACGACAGATACTCCAAAACTATTTCAAAGTTATGACAGCTGCAATGCCCCTGGGTCATTTACCATTACGACTTGTTCCTCGTGTCTCCTGGCAGCAGCTGCCATTTTCAGTGCTCTAACAATTCTTTATGGGAAATGGTGGCTGCTTTTGGAGCTCTCTGCCTTAATCAGCTAGCCTTCAGGAGACTGCAAATTTCTCCTGGCTTTTGCTAGACTTTGGAAAAGAAGACCCTGCATGCTAAGGCAGCAGCTTCAGGATGACTTCCCAAAATCTTTCCTTTCCTTTAACTCTCTCCCTCTCCCAGAAAGCCACATTTCTTCAGTTAAAAAAAAACCCTGGGAGGGACAGACTTCTTGATCTTGACTTTAGAGTCCTAGCTGGGTCCTACAGAATTCAGACCCTCAGCTAAATCTATAACCTAGCTTATGTCCTATTTTTTGCTGCCCTTTCTGCAGTTGCTCAAGGCAGAAAGTTGCAGAGTTTCTCTTCTTCTTGCTTGCTTCCTTTTCTTGTCAATGGGAGTCAAGGTAAGGTTTTTAAAAGGTGTAGAGACTGGAGGGCAGAGGTGAGGATCTTACTTTTAGCACCTAATTGGGAAAAGGGAAGAACAAGAAGGCTGTCCCTCATAGCTTTTTATTGAAAAACCTGATTTCTGGAAGAGGGAGGGGGTTTATAGCCAGGGAAGGGTTTTGGGAAGCTCATCCATGCAGGGTCTGGTTTTCCAAAGGCTAGCAAGAGCCAGGAGAAGTTTGCAGTCTCCCGAAGGATTGGAGGCCAGCTGATTAGAAAGCACTGCAAAGCTAGGGAACTAGTCCTTTTGCCCCCAAAAGACAGGGACACCTTGGCAGGAGGAACGGCGGTGGCAGAACCAGGAAAGGCAGGCACAGCTGGTGTTCCTTGCTGGCAAGACAGCTGTGCGGCAGGTGCACGTAGGAGCCACTGAAGAGGCAGAATGGAGTGTGGTGCATCTCAGAGTGGGGGAGGCCTGAGGCAGGGGGCTTTGTCTTAACTAGGCCTCCCAGGATCTCCCACATCTCTGAGGTACCCTGTGCTCTATGTAATAAACCACACATTTGATTAATGAATGCAGGCAGATGAAGAAGCGGTTCATCCTTTGTCCCAACTCCCAACCCTAGTGGGCAGATTCCATTACAGTTGTAACAGTCTATCTGTATTTTACTTTCTGTACCATATGTGACTCAAATTTTGGCTGTGTTTGTTTGGAAGCCAAATTTGCAAAATCTCATTTTTAATTTTTATTTATTTTAGGCTTAAGCCTTTGGATATTGAGTTTATGAAACGCCTGCATGAAAAAGTGAACATAATTCCGCTCATTGCCAAGGCTGACACACTCACACCTGAAGAATGCCAACAGTTTAAAAAACAGGTAATTATATATATATTTTTCTTTCAGTAAAATTATATTTTTCTCCTTAGTTACACAATATCCATAAGAACAACTCTGCCAGATGCAGTCAAAGCCCATCTTAATCCAGCCTTTTATATATAGTGGCCAAATAGATACTTCCAAGGTGGTTACAAGCAGAAGTTGGAGATACGTGCTTTTCCTATTCCCTTGGAATTCATATTTGGAGATACATTATTCCCTATCTGGAATTAACATTGAATCTTCAAGATTATTAATCCTTTCTTAAGCTTATTTTCCATAAATTTATCCAATCTTTTAAAGATGTTCAAGTTAGTGAGCAGCACCACATCTTATGATAATAAATTCCACAGAATAATCATTTGAAGAAATGAAGCTTTCACTCAGCTTATTGGATGACCCCTGGAACTTATAATTCAGTAATGTCTTTCCTCAGGTACTTTGTTCCCAAGCAGCCTCCCAGCCTTTTTTTCATATGGAAGATGTTCAAATCCCAGATCATTTTACTTGCCCTCTTATGCTTCTTCTCTTGCATCCATATTTTGAGCTGTTGCATACTCATCGGGCATCTTCATTGTGTTATCCACTCTGAATCTTTTTCTGTGAGATAAACAGTTCAGACTCTACCAATGTATATATGAAGTTAGGGGCGGTTTCACCCAATCATATATCATTTTTCATGCATTTGCATTTAATTAGTCACACAGTGTAAAAAGATTTTAACACTTCTTGGTTGATTTTGACATTCTGATTATTTTAGTATCACCCACAACCAGTTTGCTGTTTATCTATAAATATCACTTATGAAGAAGTTAAAACCACTTTTCCCAACAGAGATACTCTAGAGGTTCTGCATCTGTTGTCTTTATGTGTGTGTGTATGGTGGGGGGGAGGGAGGAGGAAGTTCTTGAATTTTTTAAAGTATATTATTAAAAAAAATTTAAGAGAACTTTAACACAACTTTAACACAATAAAGAAAGAAAAAAAAAGATAATGCAGAAAAGTAATGAACTAGAAAAAAAGGTTCATTTATAGCAGACATGTCAAACACAAGGTCCGGGGGCCGGATGCGCCCTGCGAAGTGGTTTCATGTGGCCCGTGAAGCCATCCTGGAAACTGAGGGAACGGCCCCCGCTACCTTGGCCCTGGCCCAGGCCGGCCGGCCGGGAGCCAATGTACAATTTTGTGGTGGCCATCTATGCTGAAATGCATTCAGTCTTAGCTCCACAAGGCCGTCTGGAAACAGCAAGGAACCAGCCCCTGCTGCGTCGGCCCCACCCCCTGGGTGCATGCTGAAGAGGTATCACCCTTTGTGAGGGGTTTCGGCAGGCAGCGGGGCACTCTTCTCACAGTGCCGAGAGGCTGAGCCAGGTGGCGCGGATCTGATGAGAAGTGCAATGCTGCCTAGCCCCCAGCCTGCCCAGTTTCAGCAGGCAACAAGGTGCAAAGCTGGCGAGCTTCGCACCATCTGGCTCAACCTCTCGGCACTGTGAGGAGAGCGCCCCGCTGCCTGCCGAGACCGGGCAGGCTGGGGGCTGGACGGCGTCACTCTTCTTTTCGGATTCGCACCGCCTGGCTCAGCCTCTCGGCACTGTGAGGAGAGCGCCCCGCTGCCTGCCGAGACCGGGCAGGCTGGGGGCTGGACGGCGTCACTCTTCTTTTCGGATTCGCACCGCCTGGCTCAGCCTCTCGGTGCTGTGAGGAGAGCGCCTCACTGCCTGCTGAAACCGGGCAGGCTGGGGGCTGGGTGGCATTGTGCAGGTAACGTTGACTCTCACGCTGCTCATGACATCCCCTCCCCCAGAGCCCATCAAGCCAAATATGTGAAGTAGGTGAGGGCGATGTGCTGGCCACTTCCAGGCGATGGTGCATTTCTTCATTCCTCACGAAGGGTGACACCTCCCCAGCTGTGTTTCTTGCCTGTTTTTCTCCCTCCCTCATCTCAAATATTTTCCCACCACTCTGTACTTAGGAAGGAAGGAAGGAAAGAAGGAGAGGAGGGTCTGAGGGAAGTCCTGCCTTAGTCCTGCCCTGCTGCCCTTTCACCATCCCCTTGCCCCCTCCTCCTGGCCTATCCTGCGGGGTCCCCCATCCTATTGCTAAGGAAGCTTTGGATACAAAGCCAGGTCTCCTCCGATGGAGAGGGAATAGGCCTCCCTCTGACTTTGCCCTCGTACCCATCATGAACAACCTGGATAAAGAGAGCAAGCACAGCAGCAGCAGCCTTTAGGAGGAGGTAAGTGCAGCTGGGCACCCCCTTGCGGAAGTGGGGCTGGGTTTGGTGCCTCAGGTGCTCGAAGGCCAGGCTGGGCATTTGACCTCTGCTGCCCAGGACTCCGGGCAGTCTGCACCACCATCCAGCCCCCCCACATGGCCTAAGAGGAACAGTGAGGTTCCTCCAGTGGACCATGCCTTGGCACTTGCCCTGGTCCTGCCGAGGCCGCCACAGGCACCATTGGCGCGAACGATGTAGAGCTGGCCACGCCCACCCAGTAGGCCGCACCCACCCTGGCTACACCTACCTGGCCCTCCAAGGGCAACCACAATGCTTTCAATGAAATTGAGTTTGACACCCCTGATTTATAGAAACAAATTTCCATGATTTTTTTCTACTTTTTCTACTAGTCCCAACCAAAAAGCCTTTGATTTTTAATTGTACTTTAGTTTTTAAAATCTTCTGAATTAATATATGTACTTGTATTCAAATTTGTTAGCTTTTTTATACATCCATCAAACATGATAGAATGTGTCCTCATGTTCTCATTTCCATCAAAGATTCAAAGTACCTTTATACCTTGTAGACAATTTATTTAGTGATAAATGCCAACAATACAACATTTTATAAAATCCTCTTTAAGATTAGAATTTCAATTATTTCAACCACACATTTCCCATTGGTCCATTTGTATATTGTAACCAAATTTTTGGCCCATTTTATTATACATTCTTTTACTTGTCTTCTTGTCTCGTATTTCAACCAAAATTTATACATTTTAGCATTTAAGCATTAGTGCTTAATTTTGTTTCATATTCAAGTTTTACATTGTTCAAAATCATAAAATCTTTTATCTGCTTTAAACCTTTCTAATTGTACATTAGAAAACCATAGACAAGTATATCTGTTCTTGATTTTATTTTACAATTCTCAAGAAAATTCTAGTATATCATGATAAATTAGCAAATTACTTTTTTGTTGTCTATAAAATGCTTTCTGTGCTGAAAGCCATAAGGTGTCTTCAGATACATTCTGTACTTAACATTTATTTCATATTTTTAAGAATGGCCAGCCTGATCTTGTGATTTTTGAAATCTACATTAAACTTAGCTTTGTCATACTATAGATAAGATATCTATAGTATGACAAAATTCAAATTCATGTCCTTGTAACTCCAATAACCTGCTTCTTAGCAACACCTACTCTTTCATCCAGGTTAAAAAATAGGAAGAAAATATAATTTCAAATCTGGTAGACCTAATCCTCTTTCCTTCGTATCTTGCAATACTTTATATTAACTTGTGATGTTTTTTTCTTATTCTATACAAATTCCAACAAACCTACTTCTGACTTTTTTCTACTGAGAAAATCCCCATTTATCCCTATTCTTTGCTTTCTGTTGTTAATAAATTAGCTGTCATTCATTCTTCTTTATTCAAGAATCTTTGCTGAGAAACTTGGTCAGGGAGCTCAAATTTACATATTTTTGTCAGGAGGTCAGCAAATATTTGATTTTTTTAGTGAATGCCCTTGGGATCTCACAATCAATTTTTTCTTTGTTTATGAGGCTTGCAGGCCATGTGACAACAAAATGATTCTGTGCAACAAAGCGATGAAAAACAGCAAGAAATTCTGCCTATCTGGATTATTATATTATAGTCTTTCAAGATGTCCTAGAATATCTTTTCTTGTTGTCATTGTTCTTTTTAGTTGCTCTGATTTGTTTACTTGTTTTTATTCCATCCATGAGAATATCTGTGTGATTCAGGTATCACAGGATTCCCCAACGCACAGATCGCAGCCCACTATTGGGCCATGGTCTGTTTAGAACAGGGCCATGCAAGCAGTGGGCAAGCATGCTTGTGCTCGAAGTTCCCCTCGCACGAGTAGTGGCCGCTTGCACTCACGCGAAGCTCCCCTCGCGCGAGCAGTGACCATTGGGGCTCATGTGCGAAGTTCCCATCATGCCAGCAGCAGGCACCTGTACCCATCGCTCACACTAATGGAGTTACTTGCATGCACCCGCCTGCCACTTGCAGGGAATTATTCCCCCCCCAAACCAGGTCATCAAGCCAGAAAGATTGGTAACTGACGAGATATCAATCGTTCACCTCCTGCAATGAAGATAGTATTTATAAATACCACTTACATATATCATATAGTAACAGATTGGATGCTATAATCTATAGTATCTAAGCATATTTAATTTTGATGGTGAATAGTTAATTCTCCAGCACTGGAGATGGATAATCCACTAATGGGTTAACTTAATCCTCCTGCCCAATCAGATCAAGTCAGTCAAACTTGCCACGCCTGTCCTGGGCCTGTTTCCCAGTTTTTTGACTTGATCTTGCCCAGAACAGACGTGCAGGTTTGGCTCACAGGCAGGTAGATACCTATTAGTGGATTATCCATTAGATTACTAAATTTTCTAAACTTTCTTGCATCTCTAGTCCCCTGAGCAGCGTTGGGACCAACGCTCCTCCAGAGGACCATTTCTAACTGATTCCCATTGGGATTCAGTCTTTCAAACGAAGGATTCCGTTTGCGGCTAAATCACCCCCCTCCCATACCCTCTTCACTAGGAAAGGGGTTTTTTTCTCCTATCTTCTTTCTTCCAGTGCAGCGCTCTTTCAAACTCCCCCCCATTCCCACCTCTCCTGGCGTCGGAGCTTGCGGCTGCAGCTCCGACGGCCTTAAAGAGCCCGGACCGGCTTCCACCAACTCTCCTGATGTCGAAGCTTGCGGCTGCAGCTCCGACGGCCTTAAAGGGCCCGGACCGGCT